TGACATATATCAATTCACCCTTGCATACATACACACACATATAAAGACAAATATATATATATATATATTCGTTGTATTTAAAACGGAGTACGATGACGATGGGCGTGTTAGTGTTAGTGGTAGTGACGTCGGTGATATCGAGAATGGCAATGGTTGGGTGAAAGATAGATTGAGGGAACCGTGCCGAAAACGACTGAGAGTGAGCGGTTGTGAGGACTGAGGATTGAGGGTTCAGGGTGAGAAGGAAGGAAACAGAGAAAGGTAGAGATAGAAGCGACAGGAACAATGTGCATTGAAAAAGAGAGAGAGAGAGAGAGAGAGAGGGATAGTTGAAGTGAACGGGGTATGGAAAAGGAAGAAGAGACAAAATGAGAAAGAGAGAAACGCGAATGGCAGAGGTAGAGATATAGAGAATTGTCGGAGTTAGAGGAGGTGGATGAGGAAGAGAAAGAAGAGTAGAAGCAGGAGGAGGTGGAGGAGGTGGAGGTGGAGGAGGAGAAATCGGGAGAAAGCAGCAGTTGCCGCTCTCGGGGGCGGCTGGCTGGCTGTTATCATGAGAAACAAGCTTCCACTCTGATTTTTTAATCCGATCCGCACCCCCTGCCACCCCGACTGAATTTTAAAATAACTGCAGAACGCCATTTGCTCCTCGCAAACAGACTGGGGTTAAGCCATCCCTCCCTTCCCACCCTCTACCCACCCTTTTCCTACAATCCTACCAACCTGCTCACCACCCTACTCATACTCCTACTCCTGTTCGTTCCTCTCGGTGGCCCTTCCACCTTCTTTCTCTTTTACTTTTTTCTTCTTTGTTCTTTCTTTTTTTTTTGATCTCTTTTTCTCATTTTTTCTCTCTCCCTCTCTTTCTACCTTTCTTTCTTTTTCTCTTGGTTTCAACGATCCCAGGCTGTTCGTTTCGTAGCCTAGGTAGCTAGCTAGCTAGCTACTGTGTACTCTTTTTCTCTTCTTCATCACCGTCTGTCTAGTTACCATGTAGGAAACGTATCAGTCACAACACACGCGTGTGCGTTTTCCTACCTTTTTACGGTAACCCTACTACTGCACGGATATAGATATAACAGATACCCTTGGATTGAGAATAGGGTGATTCAAGTATACGCTACGTTTTCAATGTTTGAGTAGATTTTTTTGTCGGGTATAGGTGTAAAAGAAAGAGATGTGTATCGGATATAAAAACGGTCAATGGTACTCCTGGTGCTGGTGCTGGTGCTTGCCCAAATTGAAATGTTTAGAGAACTCGTATTTAGAGTCCGTTCTAAATCCTACCCTTTTCTACCATCTTTCTATCAGCCTACGACTGCTTGCACACAATCTAACTTAACCCCTAAACCCAGTGAAAGATAGAAACGGGTAGATAGATTTGTTTATCGGATTATTCCTTTTTCTATATTCTTCCTGGAAGGAAGAGTTTGATAAGTGACAGTTTTATTAATTTTCCATCTACCCTCTTGTGTTGCACAGTTTTGTTTCGCGAAGTTCCCCCACTTCTACCTTGCATATCTTCCCCTTCTCCTTTCCCACCAATTTTTTACTCTTCTTTTCCCCTTCTACGTTTCTTTTTAGTCACCGAATCGTGCAACATCGGGCACGCTTGGTGTTCACATTCGAATTCTCTCTGTTTTTTTTTCTTTTTGCTTTCTACTTTTCCTACTTTTTCCGTCTCTTTTTTTTTCTTTCTTTCTTTCTTTCTGTACCCACACGTCGTCGTTCCGCATGGTGAAAATAAAGCTCAATAATGGCGACGCGCCGTGACGTGGCTGGCTGGCTGGCTGGCTGGTTGGTTGGTTGGTTGGTTGGTTGGTTGGTTGGTTGGCTACCTTTTTCGATGTCTCTGAAATGGAATAAATCCTCAGCCGGTTTTTTTTTTTTTGTGCTTTCCGCCTCGGTACTTTTCGAGCTTTCAAACAAAACCATCGAGAAAATAAAATATAAAAAAATAACAAAATATATAGATAAATAAAATGGTCAATGGTAAAAGAGAAAGAAATAGCTGTTTGTTCTCGATATAAAGTATTATTATTTTTATTTGGATTTTATATATATATATATATGAAAATATTTTATAATAACTTTTTTTTTATGAATATAATTGATGGAAGTTTTTATTGTTAGCTTGTTACTTATCTTATTTCTTTTAATTCAGCTAAAATTTCCTAAATTATTTCATATTAAATTAACTATGACTGAATTTGAGTCATAATAAGGAATATTTTCACATTGTTTTTATTTCTTATTCAATGGTAAATATAAAAGTATAATTATATATTATTTCTTTCTTTTATATTGAAAGTTGTATATTATATTTTCAATAACTTTAAGAGCCAAATTATAAGCGATTAGTTTAAAACAATTTAATGATATTAAAATTAATCTTTTTTCGAGTAAAATTTTGAATTAGATCAATAACACGGATAATTAATATTTCCTGTNTAAAATTAATCTTTTTTCGAGTAAAATTTTGAATTAGATCAATAACACGGATAATTAATATTTCCTGTTTTATTTCTAATTAAAAAAAGAAAATTAGAATTGGGAAATTTTTAGAAATTTGTTCGACACTCTCGATATTATAATATTTTTCATCATTTTTAAACAAATCAATAATTTCTTATCAAACTCTCCAAAATCAAATACTAAATTTGATCGATCAAAAGAAAATAATTATTTATCAATTTTATTTCTAACAAAAATAAAGAAAATATAGATTTAGAAAATAAATAAAAACTTCTATATTTAATCTCTCTCTAATAAATTTCCTAAGTTTAAAATACAATAAATTTCTTATACGATTAAAATTAAATGTCCAAATTAATAAAGTTCTTGAATAACTATAATTAACTAAAATAAAAACAATTATCACTAAAACATGAAAATACTATCAATAGAAAATAACCAATCGCGGATCTATAACAAAAATGAAAAAGAAAAATAAAAAAACCTAGAAGAAGAAGAAAAAAAAAGAAATAGAAAAATAAAAGTAAGAAATAAAGATAAAGAAACAAAGATCACACGAGTAGTAAAGGATCTTCGTGGAAAACCGTTAGAGTACTTAGAGTTTTCAAGTTGGAAGTCGTCGCGTCTGATCTCCCTTGGGTGGTGCTCTTATCGGTTGGAAAAAGAAAAACGTTTTCTCGAGGATAAAAAGAGAGAAAGAAAGAAAGAAAGAAAGAAAGAAAGAAAGATCGAGAAGCATCTGAAGAGGTTGGGAAGGTCTCCCCGACGCTGGAAAATTTAATTTCGATCCCGTCGATTCAGCAGTTATACCAAAGTTTAATCTTTGATAAGGGTTAGTCTTTTAGTAATGGGATCCCAGAGGGTCGGTCTCTCCGGATGGACTGGGTGAGGCAGACGACTAAAGCAAAAGAGACCCAAAAAAAAACCCCATAGAATGAGACAGATATAAAGCAAGAGAAAGAAAGAACGAGTGAGAGTGAGAGAGATAGATAGAGATAGAGAGAGAGAGAGAGAGTTAGTGGAAAAAAAAAAGGAGAAAGGGAAAAGGACAGAGGACACCTCTTCTTCTCCTTTTTTAAGATGGAAAGGAAAGAGCTTAAACCGTTAGATAGAGATCTGCTCTTTGGATGAAAGTAGTACCTTCCCGCTTATAGCTCTATCTATCTATCTCTATCTCTCTCACTCTCCTACTCCTTCTCTTTCTCTTCAATTCACTTTATTCAGGTCTCCTCTTCTAACCAAGGACCTCAGGATTCAGACTTGACTTTTATAACGCTCGCGAAGGCGTAACGAGCCTCACGATTGGATAAGTTTTCCCGACACACGAGCTTCCGCGGTGATTCCAGAACTACTCCTATTTCTATTTTTTCTTTTTTCTTTTTTTTTTTTATTCATCTTCTCCTACCCAACGGTAGTCTTTATACCCTTTTTTTCTCCACCTTGGTGTATTCCAGACCCGCTTGTATCCGGGTCACGCGCATCCTTCAGACGATGAAGACGCTTAATGATCGGATAGCTTAATAAACGGATAACTCGTACGATCGTAACCACGTTCCAATTAAGGAACAACCCAAGGAGAGGAGAAGAGGGAGGAGGAGGTGGTGGTGGTGGTGGAGGTAAAAGGAAGAATGGAGTTTTGTTGTTTTATTTTACGATATAATAACTTCATCTGGTTTGGTTTAGGTCGAACCTCTGGTTGACTTAATTCGTTCTTAGGTGGCTAATTAGTTGAGTTATTTGTTGGAATTTCTAATGGGTTTTCGATTTTATTTGATCAAAAGTGATTTGGATTATAGGATTGATAGATTGTTAGATGTTTGTTGGTATTTAAGGATGATTTAGTTGTTATTTGGAGTACTTTAAGTATTTTTAATATATTCTATATTGAATTTTAGGATATTACTTGAATTATATCTATTTTTTAGGTAGGTATTAGGAATAGGAAATATAAAATGGTAGATTAAAGATATATCTTTTATAAATTTGAATTACATTTGTTGATGCAAAGAATAATTATTGATAATTTATGTTGTCCCAGTGATTTGGGTATCTGTATATTTTGTTATAACAAAATATTAATCAAGTATATCTTATCTGTTGAGTACTTGGAATATTTGGAAATATAACTGGATAAATAAGAAATACTATTTTTATTAATTTTAAGAGTTATACATTACATTGCACAAATTATGGATCATAACATCTACTGTTAAAACATTGTTCATACCTGCATAACAAATTTTAGAATATCTAAATGAAATATATCAGATTATTTAACCCCGAGAAAATTCCAAATTAAATTGTTTAATTGAAAATATAATTTACGTGGAATATTTAAAATATCTCTCAATAACACAATAAAAAAAATTAAAAAATAAACCCTATTACAATTTTAAATTAACCAAATAAAATGTACTCGACAATAATCCTTTGATATAAACCTTTCCACATAAAAAAATAAATCCAAAAGGTCAAGAGAACAAAAGATTTAATATACATACTTTGTTCTGTTTTTATTGTTAAAGTTATGCCGTTGATTTGAACGGTCAAAGGCGGAAAAATGCAACGAGAGAAACTACGAGTACGTTGAAAGCTTGGCTCAACGAACATAAGAAAAATCCTTACCCGACTAAGGGTGAGAAGATTATGTTGGCTATTATTACGAAGATGACGTTAACGCAAGTATCAACGTGGTTCGCGAATGCACGAAGGAGATTGAAAAAGGAAAATAAAATGACGTGGGAACCACGTAACAGAGTAGAAGATGAGGATAACAATAACGAGGATGACGATAGCGGTAGGAAGAGTGTCGATGAAAAGGATCGTCTCGGTGAGTTCTACTTATGTTACGCGCGAGTTTTATTAAGTCTATCAAAAAGTTCTGCATTGCATGTGAGCTTTTATAACTTTCAAGGACATGTCATTTCAGGTTCACATCGAAAAAGTTCAAATTTGTTAACTTTTTAACATACAAAACGATATCATACGAATGATATTTTTCTTTTGTAAATATTTTACATAACTCTGTTATTTAATTATTTAATAATTTTATTTATTTATTAAATTCTAATTATTAATTTTTTTCTGTCCAATTGAACCAAATGAAATATTTTGTTGATAAATGGAATTATTTATCATATTATAAATGGCAAACTTCTAATTAACTAACCTAACCTAAAAATGCCTAATTTCAAGATTCAAGTAATTTGATTTTCTGTCATGAAGTATAAAAATATAATAAAACAATTTTAACTTTAAGAGAGAGAGAGAGAGAGAAAGAACCCGCAAAGTTATCAGAACTTTTCGGTAGACCTGATTCCTTACCAATGAACCCAACAATAAAGAAACAAAAATAATATTAGGAAAACATTAGCATAAAGGACGGCTTATTCGTTAAATTACAGATTCAAAAGATTCGGGTACGGGTTCAAGCGAGGATGGTGAACGGCCAGCTCACAGATTGGACTTATTGCATGGTACAAGTGGTGGTCCAGCTGGTGCACAGGGTAGAACGGAGAGTGAATGGAGTGAGTCCCGTGCTGACAGTGGTCCGGATAGTCCGGAATGTCTGTACGATCAACGAGAACCAAGGCATCCTTTGCAACTTCAGCATCCAGCGTATTTAACATCAAGTCATAATCGATTACTTCGTCATCCATCACCTGAAAGTACGTCACCGAGTGCTCATCACCATTTACCACCAAGTACGAGTGCACCCTCGACGGGTAATCCAGTTACAACGAAACCAAGGATTTGGTCGCTGGCAGACATGGCAAGTAAGGATGGTGAACAGCAGAGTCCGAATCCAACGACGATGACGGGTTTGACGTCACCTTATGGTGGAGCGGGTGGGGGAGTTGGAGGAGGAGGTGGAGGTGGCGGGGGTGGCGGAGGAGGTGGTGGATCTGGAGGTGGACCTGGAAAATTAGTGAGTCCATTGGCAAACCGTTTACGACCTCATCATCATCCGTTACACCCAGTTATGCATCCGGGAACTCAATTCGTAAGGCCTCACCCAGACTTTTACCGAAACTTCTATGGGGCATCGCACCTTGGTTCTGGAGACATGTCCTTGCTCGAGAGTTATTCGAGAACACTGGGTGGTTTAGGAGGTGTCATGCCACCATCAACAGCTCCAAGTATATTAACATCATCCTCCTCGTCAATAACTGGCGCTGGTAACGCCAAACCTTTTTCCATCAATGGGGAAGCTACCGGTGTTATTACAGGACCAACAGTTATGCTTACAACAGCATCATCCGGTTTATCACCTTCGTCATCATCGACGGCATCATCGGGTGGTTCGGATCATTCACCTCATCCATCCGGTCCCATACCACCAAGTCAAGAACTCAAATCTCCTGGACGTGTGTGATTCGACGTCTAAGTAGGTGTGTCAAATCTTTGATTAACGAACGAACAGACAAACAACTCTAAAATAACGATTACAAAATTATAATATGAAAGAAATAACATAATAACAAAGTAAGACTTTTAAATGGTCGCTAAAATTTTGTTCTTTAGCGACAAACGTGTGCTGTGCTCTGGTGTGTCCGACAATAATGACAGACTACAATCTTGTAATTAGTGTACAGTGAACGACATTGGAGTATAACTCTTAACATCGGCAACCCTTTTTATCCTGCTTTGAACAGTCCTAATCCCTAATTCCTTATTCCCGATCCTAAATCCTTGACCTGTTCAAATTCGGTTGTGTTTGATCAACGAGAAATAGTAGTCCTGATATATCCGTAAAGAAAATACGGTAAATCATGGTAAAACTATCCTAGTACTGACTTGATAGTAAAACATTATATATAAATATTATATATATATATATAAATATATAAATATACATAAACATATGACGATAATATTATTATTTATGCGTTTGTAAATAGTAGAGATGGCCTAGTAGAGAGCGTCCGGCCAGTGTATGTATTGTATGTAGAGTAGGTACACACAATTATTATTATTATTATTATTATTTCATATTAATATTATTATTAATATTATTATTTTTAATATTATTATAATATCACAGCGGAGAGAGATCATATTATTCGTAACGATGATCATTCTCATCTTTAAAATCATCTTCACCGTCATCACAATCGTCATCGTCATTTATTATTATTATTATTATTATTATGAATTATTATTATGAATTATTATTATTATTATTATGATTAATTATTATTGTTATCGCAATGTTTATATCATCTATTCGCGTCGGCTCGGTCGATCGTGACGAGGTATGGATTCCGTTCGCGATTTTTTTTCTCAACATTGAGATCACCATTACGCCCTTTTTATTACGTATATATGATAAAAAAAAATAAATAAATAAATAAAAAAAAGAAATAAAGTTAATATTTCGAAATGAGAAAAAAAAGAAAAAGAAAAAAAAAGAAGACAAATAAAGTGGCAGAGTAAAATGAAAGGAATGGTCGAATTGTGGTGGTTCGTAATGGAAAGGGGGTGTAATGGTTGTTGAAAATAAATAAATATAAAAAAAGAAAAGTATGAAAAATAAAAAAAAGAAAACATATCGTGTCATGTCGAGAGCGAACGATTGCCATCACCTTTTAGTCATTCGTGTCAACAAAATTTCACGCGGCTCACAACCCGGTGCCACATTGGCAGCCAACGAGAGCGCAGACTGTGTCTTTTCGCAATAAATGAATCATTACGAAAAAAGTAAAAAAACAAAAAAAAACAAATTGAGAGAGATGTATTCACTCGATATTTCTAATTCATCAACAACTTGTCATAATTCCACTTCCTCTGATTTTTTTTTTTATCCTATAACCTCTCTATTTATTAATAGAAATTTTTATCAAGATGCGATGGGTAAGTCGAATATTATTTTTTTTTCAACGAATTTTATTTAATTAGATTTAAACAATGTGTTTCGATGATTAAATAAAAATAGACAAATATTTCGAAGAAAATTGGAATATTTTATACGAATAATTTTTCTAAAAAAATCAAAAAATAATTAATAATATTTGATTAAAAAATTGATATAACAAAAAATATTATTATAATTAAAGAAAAAAATGAAAAATAATGGACAAAATAAATCTGTAATGGATAAAATAATTCAAACATTTGTCGAAAATTATATTTTAAATTAAACAAACGATTATAATAATAATAATGAAAACAAATAATTATTGAAATAATAAGAATTTTTAAAGAGAGTAGATATATAAATGTATTGTTTGAAATATTATATTTTAAACAAAGATTATTTATAAAAATAATTTGAACAAATTCTAATAAGAAAAGAAACAAAAAATCCACAATTAAGAAATAAAATAAATAAGAGAAACTAACAAAAATGACGGATACTATTATCCCATTCGAAAGACGATATCACAAAAGAAAAAAAAAAAGAAAAAACATTTTACAATCGATGAACAAAAGCAATTGTCTCAAAAAAAAATCATTTTTGCAACACTAACAATAAAAAAAAAAAGAAAAATATCTTAATAACAATAAATACACGATATCATTATACGATAACATTATACTGTTCAAAGAGACAAGGCGCCAGTATATCGTAAGAAAAATAAAACAATTCTTTAAGAGAAAGAGAGAGAGAGAGAGAGAGAGAGAGGAAGAGAAAATAAGAGAGGAAAAGAAAAGGAAAGGGATAGGAAAGGAAAGAGGTCTCCGTTTTACGGTTTACAGGTCCCCATGATATCTCTCTCTCTCTTTCTATCTCTCTCTTTCTATCTCTCTCTTTCTCTCTCAGATTCGTCCTCCGTAGAGTCTGGATGAATATGAAACGTCCTCTCGTTCTTGGAACCGGCCTCTAGATGTACTTATAAAAATGCAAAGCGCGACCAACTTCTGGGTGGTTGCGGGACAAGCCTGGTTATTAGTAAACATTTAAATCGACAATCGGTATAGGTATAGACATTGGGAGAGAAAACGGGGGAATGCTGTTCTGGTTTCGTCTCATTCTATTATTTATCTTTATCTCATTCTATCTTTCTTATTCTCATCGATTCAGAAGGAAGGTAAGTAGCCCAGCCCAGCCCAGCCCCCATGGCGTAGGAGAAATAAATAAAGAAAATAAATGGAAAAAAAAGGGAAAGAGAGAGAGAGAGAGAGAGAGAGATAGATAGATAGATAGAAAGAGAGAATAAATATAGCAAAGCAACGTAGGTTGCGACCGATCGGTCGCAATGGAGGAAACAAGAAATCAAGCTTGGAGACCACCCGCCAAGACCATGGGGGCACCGAGCCGCGGATCCCAAGGAGGTCCATCCCGTCTTCATGAATCAACTCGTTCCTGAATCGGCATAAACTTTCAAAGGGTTGTAGAACTCGCCCTTTCTCTCTCTCTCTCTCTCTCTTTMTCTCTCTCTGTCTCTGTCTCTCTTTCTCTCTCTCTCTGTTGTTGCTTTGCTTCTGTCCCACCTCATCGTATTATATATACCTTTTATCCGTCCAACCTAGATCTTTCTAACTTATGCACTACATCTCTTCTTCAATGTTTCCTTTCCTTTCCTTTCCTTTCCAGTTTCTAACTTGAGTAAATGTATACTTATTTTGTGATATTTTTTCAAAGAATTTTTGTTACTGTTGTATTCGATTATTGAAGTA